CCTATACAGGGTCACTATGGGTCGGAATCGATTCGATGGCACTTCGCAACGAACAGTGTATATAAGAGTTATGTTTACACTGTCTTGTAGACAATTTAGAGAGCCCTGGGTGCTGTGAGTTAAGCATTGGACTGTTGTTAACTGCAAGGTCCTTTGTTCAAACCTACCATTCCCTCCACGGGAGACCACGGGAGAAAATGAGGCTGTCTGTTTCCGTGGATTTGCAGTCTCAGAATCTCTAAGGAGCAGCTCTAGTCTGTCCTGTAGGGTCGCTCTGTGTCAGAATCGACTTGGTGGCAGTGGGTTGGGTTTGGTTTGGGAGTCTATTAAGTGTGTAATGGCATTATGAAATTTTGTGAGAATTACCAAAATGTAGAACAGAGACACAGGGTAAGCATGTGCAGTTGAAAAATGGTGCTGATTGACTTATACTCAATGCAGGACTGTCACAAACCTTCAATTTACAAAGAAAGAAAACAAAAAATTCTTTGCAAAGTGCAGTAAAGTGAAGCCCTCTGAAATGAAGTATGCCTGAACTCTGTACTTATGCAAACCAAACTGCTCGCTATTTCTGTCCATTCTCTGCCCAGCTCAGCTCACTTGTTCTCCTCCCCTGTGTAGTCAAGTTCCAGTGGAGTTGTCATCTAACCTCCCCTGTATGCCCCAGGCCTAAAGGCCCTCTCTCTTCTTGAACTGCCTAACACTACCAATCGGTTCCCCTCATCCACTCTCACGTAGCCCTGAGGCACAGCCTTTTGTCCTCCACTGGTAGCTTTTGCCGTCATACCCTGAAACTGCCTTTTGCATTTGTGCAGACATCATCATGAGACCCAGCTGTACTACTGGATGGTTTTACCACAAGTCCAATTGCTATGGCTATTTCCGGAAACTGAGGACTTGGTCTGATGCTGAGGTAAGAAATCTGACCCATTCTTGAGCTGACTTGACTCGGGAACAAGGCTCCTTCCTTGGCATTGTGAAGACAGGTGACCTAGTGGGTAAAATGGAGTTTTACATTTATGACAGTTATGTATTCAACTCATTAATGTTTGTAAACATCGATGGAGCAGAGCTTTCTTTGTTATCTAGGGATGCTATAATAGAAATGCCACAAAGGGGTGGCTCTAATAAACAGAAATTTATTTTCTCAAAGTTTAGGAAGCTACATGTCTGAATTCAGGATCCCAGCTCTAGGGGAAGTCTTTCTGTCTCTGCTGTCTTTGGGGGAAGGTCCTTGATGCCTTTCAGCTTCTGTTTCTTGGATTGTTGGATCTCATGTGGAGTGGTATCTCCCTTTCCCCATCAGTGCCTGCTTGATTGGTTGCTGGCTCAGTCTTCTCTGTTTATAACTTGAGTTAAAGAAGGTACAGATTAAGCAAGGAAGGAAAGAAGCAGAGATTGGGGAAGAAGGTGCCATGTAACATGAAGATCACCAAGACGTCAAGGAATAGAAACTGAAGAGACAGAGACTTTCCCCAGAGCTGATTGAGAGAGGCTTCCTCTGAAGCTGGAGCCCTGAATTTGGACTTCTCAGAGAGAAAGACGAAGACCTCCAGTGACATGGATTGGCAAAGTGGCAGAATCAATGGGCTCAAGCGTGGCAACGATAGTGAGGTTGGCCCAGGTTCGGGCAGTGTTTCGTTCTGCTGTGCATAAGGTCGCTATAAGTTGGTACCGACTCGATGACAACTAACAACAACAACAAAAAACAAAAAAAACAACTGAGAAAAATGAATCTGTTTGCTAAGGACATCTACTTATGGTATTTCTGTTCTAGCAGCACTAGAGAACTAAGCACTAAAACTTTCTCAGGTTCTATAATTCCAGGCAGAGTCCTGGCATGGTACTGTAGGATAAACACTGTACTACAAGGCTGGTTGAACCACAAGGTCGGTAGTTTAAACTCAGCAGCAGCTCCTCAGAAACCCTCCACAGAGTCTCTATGAGTTGGAACTGACTCAATGACACCTCACAACATAGTGACAGAAAGTCTTTTGTGGGGTTTGGATCACTACTTCTGGAGGTGGGTGGGTGGCATTTGAGTCTATGTTCCTGGGCACACTACATTTCCAAGGTGAGGACTGTGCTGTCACATCATCAAACATCATTAACAGAACCTCTCTTTGCCTGTAGCTCGAGTGCCAGTCATATGGAACCGGATCTCACCTGGCATCTATCCTGGATGAAAAGGAAGCCAAGACCATAGCACAGTATATAAGTGGCTATCAAAGAAGCCAGCCTGTGTGGATTGGTCTGCATGACCCCCAGAAGGTAATCTCGGATTTAGCCAACAAGGTCCTCTAGGGAAAACCAGTACCTAGCCACTCTCTTGGAAATGGCCTCCTGGTTTACTGAGTAGACCAGTGATGAGGGACACAGGTAGTGGATTTTCTCCAGTAATGTACTTCCAACTAATAGAAACCAATGCCTCAAGGTCACTGAATCAAAACAATGGCAATGGGTTTGGTTGTGGATGTGTCTTGGGGTGGGGACACGCACACGTATGCAAAGAGAGAGACCTGCTAGAGTCTTTGGGT